CTCAGTTCGAGCTGGTGAACGGCTTCAGCAACCAGTACTGGGGCTGGGGCGGCGAGGACGACGACATGTACAACCGGCTGACGTACCACAAGCTGCACATCGCCCGCTACCCGGCCAACATCGCCAGATACAAGATGGTCAAACACAAACACGGAAAGGTCAACCCTAAGCGGTGAGCTTTCTTATGTTTTTAAAATTACACTTGTCATCCGGGTGGGAGTGGACGGCTAAAGAAAAATTACAGAAAAATCGAAAAGGGTTAATAATAGGTGACAGACATGTGCATTGTAGCGGAGCTGATAGTTGGATCCCTGATCTTTGTGGAACTTGGATCTCATCTCATAAGAACTGGTAAGAATCCACTTAATTTAAACATTTTAAATTACGATACATATACGGATGCAAAAAATATGTAGACAATGTTAGGATCTTTTATCCCATACCCTAGATCAAGATCGGAGGGATGGGGCTTAGATCCGACTTCTCAGATACCTGCACATTGCACATGACGTCTGATAGGTGTCATTGGCGATGGTCGTTAGTGGTCGCTGTTAGTGACCGTTGGTAGTGGCCGTGGGTAGTGGTCGCTAGTAGTGGCGACACTGGACACTGGGCGGTCTGGACTCCATGTGTCTGCACTGAGGCCGCCGGTCGGGGACTGTTTACACGTCTGAAAAAGGAGGTCAATAGTACCTTATCTGAGGGGGAGGGGCACCATGACTCCCCTGAGAGGCTGGGCCGGGCCAGGCACTGGTATCGGCAGGGGGCTGTGCATAAGCGACTCCGACGGCCGTAGCGGCTGGGTATGACGGTCATATCGACCGAGTCCAACCGTCGGTAACAGCTGGGTCTGACGGTCGTAACAGGCGAGTTAACTGTCGTAACAGCTGCGTCTGACGGCCGTACTAGTCGAGCTGGTGGATATCTGTGGTGCACACTATACAACGCCACTGGCATTTCCTGTCATTTTCCTTCTCATTCACCTTCTTTCTTGATCTTGTTAACGTGTTACGTGGAAACAGTGGCGAATACACGAGTTTTCTGGTTGGATTGCGCCAGTCATATATGGCTAGCAATGAGTACCTGGTTGACTGTAAGCCGTACGGTATCTTTAGGGATGTATATGTGCGGTATCTATAGGTACAGTATCTAAACCCTAATTTTTTTAGTCGTCCCTGATAGCTTCTATCGTACTTCAGTCTGTTCTCCTCTCTCCTGACTGAATTGTCATATCGCCAACCATGTAAACCAACCGCTTCCCCTTGTCGCCACTGCTATAAATCAATCATTGACCACCGTTCCTATCCAACAGCTACTCCTGCATACCAGCTGCTCCTGACTGCCTATCCTGTGTGGCAAACGTTCCTGTTCAACGGCCATTCCCATTCAACTACTTACTTTCTGAGGTGAGGATCCATTTTCTGACTATCCTGTTTTCTTGCTGAACTCTTACCTCCGACTTATGACAGGGGTATATTTTATGCTTTGCGGCTCACTTGTTGTACATATTGTCACTTCACTTAGTGAATTGACAATGATATGATACGTCAGCCCTGTGTGTAAATATTCAGTTTCGTCACTTACGAGTATCACATGTAGTTCGTTTGCTAGAATCGATGTCAGCCGTTCCGAATCTCCACATGACGCCTTTGTATCTGTCCCAGGTTCGACCTGTTGCGGCGAGGCAAGAAGCGCTTCACCACCGACGGCCTGTCGTCGCTCAAGTACCAAGTCAAAGACATAGTGCTGGATAAACTATACACCCGACTGTTGATATCACTGGGCCGCCGGTGACGGAGCGCGGTGCCGAGCGGTCGCCCCTAGTCAAACGCCGGCGGTCGGCGGTTTTAGGCGGATCGCGGGTGCCGCGGCGCGCAGGACACTCGCGACAGTGATACGCGCGTCCGGCCGAGCGCGCTTCCTCTCTGTGGCTGTTGTACCGATGTGGACGGTGGGCAGTCGGTGCCGCCCTCACCGACACGAGATTATCGTCCGTTTTATGCCGAATGACGACCGGTACTGGTTCGTCGTATATAGAACTTTATGGGTGTGTGCTGGTGTGGACGTGTGTGCCTGTTTATGTGTGCAAATACACAAGTGCAATGTTAACCGTGAATGGGCTTTGTGGTGTGTGCTGTGCTGAGAGTTGTTTATCTCGTCAGAAGGAAGTGGGTTGATGCAGGCACATTACGACTGTAGCGTATCAGGATGTCAGATTTGATGTGTACCTACCAGAATCTTTGCGTATGGACGTCAGTTTCTCGGAAGTATCGGAACGCATTTTATATGGCGATGCAGGGTCTGATCCAGGAAGATTGTTTTGTAGAAATGTTCAAACTTCAAAGAACTTCCGAACTGTTTTACCACATGTTATCCTGTTTTGTATGGCCCCCCCCTTGGCCCATGGCCCCCCCCCCCCTTGTATCCGCGCCTGAAACACATCCACTATATACACGGTCCACCACCACTATAATACGGTCCCGACGGCATGGATGTCCAGTCATCACTGCGCTTCACTGTTTTTCACCTTTGCGCCCCTGTTTCTTCGACGGTCCAGCTCCCGACGTTCGATGGTTCGACGTCCAGCTCCCGACGTTCGATGGTTCGACGGTCCAGCTTGTGGACCCCGCTTTTTGCTCCTCGCCATACGTGCCTGTTGCTCGCCCTCCAAAGCCGTCCGCTCTGGGCTGTTAGTCATGATTTTAGAACGCCCTTTCTTCCGACCGGCTTTTTGAACGTTGATGCGCAGCTGCGGAAGTGGTCGGATGGACTCTGGGCTTCCGACAAGCAACTAAGACACGGCGACAGCAGGCGGCTGGAGCACGGCCGCGGCAGGCAGCTGGAGCACGGCCGGCCCCGGGGCTGGCGGCTGGAGCACAGCCGCGGCAGGCGGCTGGAGCACAGCCGCGGCAGGCGGCTGGAGCACGGCCGGGGCCGCGGCGTGCTGATCTGCCGTCGCTGGGGCGACGACCGGTGCGAAGACCGCCGTCGGCGCAGTCTTCGTCGTCGAAGATATCCCGGTTGAGCGGCGTTATCCCGGCTGCTTCGAATCCCTTAAGGATGTTCTTCCGCGTGAAGGTGGCGTCTTGGGCACGACGAAAAATCGGCGCCACCTGGTAGAGGTCGATGTGACGTCCCGGGTTCACCATCTGCCGCCGGGTGCCGAAAGCCAATCAGCGGACACCTTGGTTAGGTCGTCCCTTGCATTTAGACTCCGCCGCATTACCATCCTCAGTGGCAGAACTTAGCCAGCGCAGCGCGTCGCTCGCAGACTAGGCAAAAAATCAACTGAGTCGCTGGGCGGCCAATTCGCCCCGTATGGGGCGGCCAATTTACCCCAATATGACATTTTTAGGAAAAGGGGTCCGCAGACAAGCAAGAATTGTTACTTAAACTTGCAAAAGGGTCAGACAGCTCCCTGAATTACCAGATTGTTCTACCAATAGAGTTAAAATTTTGATGTCACCCAAATAAGGGACACTATGCATCTTTTCGTAAAGAAGAAAAAGTTACGTTTTTTAGCCAAAATCCAAATATCGTTGTCTTTACAAAAAACTGGGCGTCGCCGAGTTTCCTTAGTTTCTTTCCAAAGTAGTTCTTATGACGGCGGATGAAGTCATATTAAAAAATAATCGCTCGGGACCGTCAAAACGCGTAGGCATGGGGCGGCCAAAGTGACCCGGGCGGCCAAATGACCCCGCTCTCCCCTACCAGAATCTTTGCGTATGGACGTCAGTTTCTCGGAAGTATCGGAACGCATTTTATATGGCGATGCAGGGTCTGATCCAGGAAGATTGTTTTGTAGAAATGTTCAAACTTCAAAGAACTTCCGAACTGTTTTACCACATGTTATCCTGTTTTGTATGTCATCCTGGTCCGAACTGTTTTACTCAGGGATGCGGAGCCGGAGCCGGAGTCGGAGCCGGAGCCGCCGGAGCCGGCATATTTTGCCCGGAGCCGGAGCCGGAGCCGGAGCCGTGAAACAATATAGACCGGAGCCGGAGCCGGAGCCGGAGCCGCCAAAAAAGGGGGCGACTCCGGCTCCTTTTTATTTTTTGAAGAGGAAAAAAAATAATTGACCTAGTTCGGTTTGACAGTACAAGGCAGTGAAACATATGGTATGTACTTACGTCATGGGCCATCAAGTGAATGAAAAAAGCCGAATATCCCCAGTATCCCACAGTACGCAATCAACTTCCTGTCTGCTCCTCCCCCCCCCCCCCCACGTCTACTGCATCCCCAGAACATGAGGACCGGTCATCAGGTGACGGCCATTGTTTTCAAGCCAGTGCAGTGGACTGCGACTCCCAGCACCGTCTCTGCCGAGACGGGTGTCAGCTTACGATGGTTCAGTGAACTCCGATTCGCGGCGACTGCGTTTCCAATGCCATCGCTTCCTAGTCCTTTGTTCTGCCAGTTCTCTCCGCGGTGCGTTTGCGCGGGGACGCGGTCATGAGCCGGTCATGGCAAAGAGTAACGCGTATAACCAATCCAATTTTTCTTCCACCCGTATTTAATTGATTGCATAGGGGATGTACTGAGTCGGAGCCGGAGCCGCCGGAGCCGGAGCCGCCGGAGCCGGACCATTTTACTCGGAGCCGGAGCCGGAGCCGGAGCCGCCATAACATTTCACCCGGAGCCGGAGCCGGAGCCGGAGCCGATTTTTTTCTCCGGAGCCGGAGCCGGAGCCGGAGCCGTCTGAAATTTCCACGGCTCCGCATCCCTGGTTTTACTTATTTTTCATCTTTTCATGCGGACTAAGCCTCGCGAGCAGATAAAAGTCGGATGATCCAGTTTAGGGACCTCACAGGCCGCCACTAGACCTTGTGACCGATGACCGTTTATCTGTGCTGGCCGCATTGATGAAAAGACCCGCTCCAGACCTTTGTGCGTAGCTGAGCTGAGTGTGGATTTGAGCGTCGAAACCCAATGCACCTTCAGATCAGGCCGCTGTCGGAACGAAGCTCGCCATCGAGTCCGGCGGCTTGCAGCCGTCACAAAACGCCGCTGCGCACTGACCAAGCAGACGCTGTGGCGAACTGATCCGTACTCAATAATACGATACGCATTGGTTTGATAGATGTTTCCAGATAATCGATAAATATTTACTTAAACACAGCGTATGCGACTCAACCTGTTTTGTATCGATTGCTGCTGCGTCTCTCTTCGATATGCGCTTATAAGTTCGTTTTTAGGGCAGCCGTACCAGTATCAGTGTGTATTCTGGTAATAATAACTGGCTGGTATGATGCGAACGAATTAGTCAGCCTGTCGACGCACTTTCGGGAGTAAAATGCGTAATCTGATTTTGGGTCTATGGGAATGCGTAAAGCTGAACGTCAAAGACCTCAAAATTATGTGATTGCGCTTGCTAAGGGAAGTGTTGTTTGGACTATCAATGTTTAAGTTTTCGCCTGTCTGATGTCAGATGTGTCGGAATGTGACGACGACGCCATCCATCATCTTTTTATAACATCTTCCTTATCACTATTCTCCTCCTGTCCCCAGCACTTTTTTGCCCTTCATATTTACCGCTTGAGGAGGTGCGACATTTCTCTCCAAGCAAACAATTTTTTGTCCCATCTAAACTCGGCACACGACTGACGTGCCTGACACAATCCATGCGCCGGTACGTAAATATGGGCGTGGCCAAAGTCAGGGGGTGCTCTCACTATCCAGCGTTTTCGTCAGATGTAGCGATCGAGCGTCAGATCGGCGGCCACCGGCCCGGGTCTCGGCTGGCGAGCGATATCGGCAGTGTTTATAGCGTCTGCGGCCGCTGCCCTCGATACTGACCGGCGGCGGCAGCGGCGGGCCCGCGACGGCGGTCAGTCGACGGCCGGAGGCGGCACAGGAAGGCGGCCGGGGGCGACGGAGGAAGGCGGCAACCATGTCGGTCCAGTCGGCCATGTTCCAGAGGCTCTTCCAGCGGCGGCACAGGTTAGATACTGCACCCCCAGGCCCCAGCCAGGTGGTACCGTGACTGGTGCGTCGCTGCGCGCGTTGTGCTGTGCACAAGCTATCGTTCCGCGGATTTTTTCTCCTGAACCAATCTGCCAAAGATGACTTGTACCCATGCATTACAGTGACAGGACCCGCGCACGAGTTATGGAATATGGAGCAGTGACCGGTGACCCCTTCCCACGCGGTGGCCTCATGCAAGCGACAGACCACAGACCTGTCAGATCTTCGGTAGAATCTGTGGCACAGGTCACTTTACCCTCTCCCAATAGAACCCGTACAGGTCACACGCCACTAACTGGCCATCCTGTTCACCATCGGCAGATCCCGTGCCGGTCACAGGTCATTGACCGGTCACTCTCTCCCACTCCCGACAGGACCGTCAGCGGAATGCACGACTACAACATCGAGTACGTGCCCTACAGCCGCGACCGGCTGGACGAGATCATCGAGCTGATGCTGGACACGTTCTTCACCCGCGAGCCACTGGTACGTATAACCCTCGAAACTTACCTTGTACGTAACTCGTGAGCCCCTAATACGTAACCGGTGTGCCCCAGGTACGTAACATGCGAGCGTCTGGTACGTAATCCACGGGGGCGTGGTACGTAACTCGTGAGCCCGAGGTCCGAGCTTCGTAACCCGCTAGCCCCTGTGTTCGTAACCCACTGAGGGCGTGCTCGTAACATTCTTTGCTGCTTCAAGAGTCGCGGCCACTTGATGTTTGAGGTCTACACTTACCGCTTCGATCACAGTACCATAGCCAAGCTGCTGCTGCTGTGGCTCGCTCGTTTCGTTTTTGCTTTCGCTCGGTCGCTCGTTCATTTTTGCTACTTTTCTTCTGTCGTCTCATACGCCCCTGCATTTAGCTCTCAGCCCACAGCTTCTGGTTACTGGTTCCTCCCCAGTTCGTAGAATGCTGCCGTTCCGTTCATTCCCTCCCTGTGACCATATCTTTCCCTGCAGGCGATGAGCGTCTCCAGCGCTCCGGGCTCCTCCCGCGAGGACGTCCTCAACTGGCTGCGGCCGTGTATCTCCGGTTGGACGCACGAAGTGATGTTACTGGCCGTGGACGCTGACCGTGACAAGCTGGTGGGCGCCACGCTGAACAACGTGATCACGGCTGAGGACCGCGACACGTGGAGCTGGCCGCGGCACGCCAACACCGAGTACGCCCGGCTGGTGTTCGGCTTTACAGAGGAACTCGGCGTGAGTAGGGGGAGATGTGGAGAGGGTGGGGAAGATAGGCGGGCAATGGGCATGGTGGGAGGGTAGGCACTAGGCAAGCCCGGTGGGTATGTCTGGTGGGAGTGAGGGTTTGGCTGGTGGGTCTGTTATTTGTATGGTGAGAGTATGAGAATGCCCAGTGGGTTTTTGGTTGGTGACGGTGGATGCGGCTGGTTGGGAGTCTGGTAGGAATGTGGGTGTGTCCATGGTTCGTATAAACGATCTTCATGGGCGAGTCATGTCTAATGAAAATATGGAGCTGCTGCGTAGTTGATAAGCGCTGGGTAAATAAGTATGAAGTCCAGCTCGCAAGCCCCAAATAGAAGTGTAATGGATATGAAATGGACGTCACAGGTCAGCGGATTAATCAGACGCCGTATGCCAGCCCAAACATAAGATATGCCTGTCCACTTCCCACGCCACACGGTGATGGTATTGCGAAACAATTGCAAAATGATATTTCCCATATACATAAACAGGAGACAACAAACTTTTTCAATGTTTATAAGAGCTAAAAGGCGACTGAGAACAGCATGAGTGTAGACTGTAGAGCTCGGCAGTGGCCTTCCTATATGGCTCAAATGTCCGAAAAGACCACTCGCCGCCATCCGGCAGCGCCGTTTGGGTTTACGCCTAGTTGGTACAGCGTGGCGCCGGCGTTTTCTAGGCCACTATAAACACTGTTTGACCTTCAGCCGAGCGTGGCGCGCGGTGCGACACACAGTCATTCCATGCGACTGGCGTGGTCTGGGAGCGGAGGGGGCTTGTCCTGCCCGCGGCGCCGGAAAGTGGGGTCCGTGACGGACGGACGGAGCGCTGCCGACGGGTCTGGTGGTTTGGTCCGGGCCGCAGGACTGGGGTGCCGGTCGGTCTCTCTGGTCTGGTCTGCAGGCGAGGGCGCTGATTGGTCCCCGGTCCGCAGCGGTAGGCCCGCCTGCAGGTCTGGTCCCGGGTGGCTGGGCGGTGGTTCTGGTCCCGGACGGCTGGGCGGTGGTTCTGGTCCCGGACGGCTGGGCGGTGGTTCTGGTCCCGGGTGACAGGGCTGCCGGTCTGTGGTCTACCACCCGCCACACATACACAAACAGACCAGTCAGACATCAGCGGAGGCGGACCACTGCGCTCGACTGGTCACACAGAGGTCGTAAGCGCAGTGTGTATAATGCCGTAAGTACGTTTGCACAAACAGAACCTGAGCGGACGATACACAGACTCCAGACGCGCTGGTCGGTACAAGGCTATTGCAGTATACCGACACAATCAACTACCCGGCTATAACCAGACCGCGGCCGGTGCACAAAAACGAAACCAATTCTACCCTCAGCTGTTTATAAGCTCTGTGCGCCTTTCCCTCGTATGACCACCGACCAGCCCGGGTTGTGTATCATCCATCACTGACACTGTTATTTCTCTCTGTCGGCAGCACGATGTGGACGTGTTCTCACATTTCGGCGCCACGCGCGTCCTCCACCGGTGCATGACAGCCGTGCACCCGGACTACCACCACCAGGGCATCGCCAAGGTGCTCGTTGACACCAGCTCGTTCGAGCTCGCCCGCAAAGAGGGCTGCGAGGCCGTAGTGGCCGGCGTCACCCACCGCGCCGCTCAGAAGATCCTCATCACACAGGGCTTCGAGGTGCTGCAGGAGCTACCCTACCTGGACAGCAAGACGCTTACAAACAGTCCCTACTTTGACGAGACGCGGCTCGGTCACCACAGGTCGGCCAAGCTGATGGGCATCTCACTGACCGATTCGTAATAGGCAGGATGCTGGGCCCCGGTCTCGATAACCCGGTTTGGGGCCGGGTTGCTGCAATGATAATCCAGCTGTGTATGCGTGCAAGTGTTGATGTGTATGCGCCGCGGTGGGGTGGGGGGCGGGGCGGGTGGATGGCAGAGCTCTTCTCTGGGGTCGTGTGTGTATGTGAAGGAGGGGAGGAGCGCGAACTATCTTCCACTGACTACGACATAAGCATTGTCTGAGTTAAAAGCGCCGGGAGTTCCGAGCTATGCTGTTATGGAGGAAGTAATGAATGATGTGCGAGGGGTGCCACAGTGACGACGGAATGACTACGGACACCATGTACGCAACAGAGTATGTATTGATAAATGCTGACTTGCTGAGTGTTGTGGCTCCGGCTACTGGTGAGGCCTGCTCTGAGGTGTCACGCCTCACCTGTGTATTGTTCTTGTAAGTGATGGATGGGTTGCTTCCCTCTAGCGTTTGCCACACGTAGGCGGAGAGTGTCCGACTGTCTTAAGGCGCGGACTGTGTTCGGTCGCATCGTGTCGAATGATGACTGGCGCTATATGGCTAGAGCGCCAAGTTGCCGGCGCGGTACAGTGAATATAACCTGAGACCTCTGTATACCGGTATCGGGTATACAAAGGTCTATGACGCAACTGATGTTGGATACATGCATATCGTATAACAATGCTTCAAGCGAAAGATCGAGGCAATAAAGTGACAATAAATACGGTATATACGAAAGTGGTAGCATAGAATAAGTTCTGCATTCCGCAAACCTTTGGAATGTTCCTATATCGATCCTGAATCTCGCAGTTCACGGTTCCTTAAAGCGAGACACGCTGGTAAATATAGTGAATTAGGAAATGAACTCAACTCATGGTCACACCGTTCCGTGCTTCTATCCTCAGGATACTGAAATCCTTCTCCTCCACGCCGCAACCCCCCTCCGGGCTGGACAGGCAACTTTATCTCATGGGGGCTGCTCCCTTGGAGCGGCACCGCTGCTCCCGAGGGAGCGCACCCCGTAGCCGGGTGCAGTGAGTGCCTTGGGGCTGGGTGGCTTGTCCTCTGGACGGGCTCAGCCCCGGCGACTCACTAGGGTGCCTGCCCAGACCAATGTCTCCCCCTAATTCCCATCATCCTTCCGGCTCTGAAATGGTCTAAATGGACCGAAAGGGCCTAACCCAACAAAACAAAACAAAACTCATGGTACCGATTTAACCCTATTAGTGGCAGGGTTGTTTTCATCCACCCCTCAGGTTTTTCGGGAATATCTCCGAAACCGCTGAAGCTACGATGCTGAAATTTTCTGACTTTTCCTAAAACTAAATTGGGCACATTCCCTGAAAATTTCAAGTTCATAACTTTACCAGGGGCGGCTCCAGAGCACTGGGAATTGGGGGGTCCTATTCGTGAAGCGAGTCATTTGGGCGAAGATCACGATGCTGCACCAGTTTTACGAACAGTGAATGAAAGGTATCATGTGATAACATATACAGTTATTGTGCATCCTCTTTTGACACGTTTTTGCTATAATAGGCGGATCCAGGCGTCCAAAAAGGGGGGTTATGTCTTACCTCCCAACATAGGTGCCCTGACACCGCCTATGCATGACCAATACAATTGTAGTCGTTCTCTCATAAGAAAATTGTAACATAACAAGACCATTACCGCACTTTTTAGAAACAGTACCAACAAAAACCTTATTTACTATACTTTTTGTGTACCCCCAATCTCAATGATCTGTATCCGCCTATGATTTTTGAAAATGCATATTTTTTAGGATCCATGTGAATTCCTGGTTCATTCTCTATCGATCGGCAAAAGTTGCGTTAAGATTGGTTCAGAAACCTGGCCGTGATAAACAGTCAAAAATGTATCTGCAATTTGCCCGTTTTTGCCCCCCTCTACCACCCCCTATTGACATTTTTTAATTTTTATTTTTTTATAAATGTAGATCACGTTGAGCGAAATCGAATGCCGTTTGAATTTTGAAAATCGGCCCGTTAGATCTCGAGATATCAAGGGGGGGGGGGTCGTAAACAGCCCCCCTGCCACTAATAGGGGTAGCCAGGAGCCTGCCACTAATAGGGTTAACCGTCTATGTAGTTTGCCAAGCGATGTATAGTACAGGATAGCAAAACAGACTGGTCACCCTTCCCAGTTACTTCTCAACCCACGTGTAGATGTCGCTTCGATGGATCATCTTGCAAATTTTCATCGCACACACTAACCCCACTTTTGAACAGTTCCCCTTCGTTCAGACGCGTCCCCTGGGTCGTCGCTGTGCTTTTATTTCATCTCGTGTTAGTGAAATGGTAAGGTGAATTTCCACTCCCAGTATGCGGCCTAGAAAGCAGTGGTTTATGCTCCCGCCGATAGATGTCACCACTATATAACGCCTGATCCACGCTGCACCGCAAAGCAGCTACTCATCTCCGGCAGGTAGCGCTAGCGCAGCGCATCAGGCATGCCCGGCTGTTGAGTGAGTAGTACCATTCTAACGTCCATCCTCGCCCGAATGACCATTAAATGGGCTCATGTTTGTCCCCTGCTGCCCATAACGTTAGCCAACGGGACAATTCCTGCACCCATACCCTCACGTGCGAACGCTGATTTTCTCGAATTCGTCCCACCTGAATGAGAAACACCATGACTGACGTGATGCGCATGTATTGTTCAAATTAAACCACGCATCCAAGGGACGCCATCTCCTTCTCGATGGGGGCGAGCTGTTTGGAAACCTGCCTCAGTGCGCGCGCCTTCACCGCCTGAAATAGAACACACAACAATAATTAGAGACGAAGGCATGAAGGGCGTCTGTTACGATGCCTGGTCTGAAGTGATTGCTGGAAACGATTTATATGCATCAACAATAGACCGATCAGTGCCATTCGGCGGGACTCCCAAAAGACAATGACTGTAACTTCCCGTAGTATCATCCTCGGGACAGCTTGAGAGGATGAGTTGCAATGGAAAGTCTTCATTTAGCACATGTTTAGAAAAGCACAGCTGAACACAATAATGCATGGACAGCTGCGATTGTCGACATGATGTGCATGGCATGCCATAAACCAGTGGCATGCTCGGGACAGAATATCCCAAACATACAACAACGAAAATTAACTACTGGTGTAAAATGTTCGGGACATTATCAGCAACACATAATCTATACGCAAATGTATTGGTGGCTAGTTGGCTGTGGTGCAGGATTGGGCCAGATAAAACAAAAACCTACAAAACAAGCTAGTAATCATGCGGAAGCCTCGAAGTGACGGGGACATGTCAGCTACCAAGTAACCAAACCAGTGAGGAGCTTGAAAGCCTGAATTACTCAACCCCAATATCGTGCCCTGAATATGTTTTGGTGTCATTAGATAAAGCTTGGACGCCATTTAATTGCGTCCCAGAAAAGCTATTTCTGGCACCTAAAAGCTGACTCGCCCCAAAATTGGTCCTCAGCACCTATTTGGTGGATACCAGCACCAATCACGGAAAATGACCTTAATTAGCTGTTTCTGGCACCTATTCATCGGTACGCCTTACTCTTTTTTCTGAATCTGGCACCTAAATGCTGAGCGTAGCACCAATCTAGTAGAAAAATGAACTACTGGCTGGTAGAATCATGTTGTTCTGGTATAATGACCCCTGGAGTCTAGCCTAAAGGTTGCCAGTGCAGCTACACTCTAAGACAGCCCCGTAGTGATCTCAGCATTGTATATGACGTTTAAGTAAGCAAATAATATTGATTTGTTTGAAAAAACAATGTCATTTAAATATTTAAAAGTATTTATTTGTAATGTTTAAAGGGAAACATTTTTGTGTGTAATTGTCTCGATTTTGACCATTAAAACGGGTATTGTATTTTTTGACGTCATCAAATAGCTCCAAAAAAGAAATGTACTGTTTTCATTCCGTTCAAGGCCGCTGAAGAAACGCGGGATCTTGCGTGGGACATTGTCCGTTGTTTGCCGCGCAGAGTTGTGCCGTGGTTGTGCCTTTTTCATCCGTTTCTTACTTATGTCATATGTGTGCATGAAGCTTTGATTTTGTTTTTGGTTATTGTGTGGCCGGTCAGTCAAACGCCCCTGTAGAAACCGGATGCTGTGTTTGATCGAGATGGAGTCAGACGATGATTGCAGGCCAGAAAGCTAATAATATTGAAAAGAGGGCCGGTTGCGTGGCATGTCTGTTCAGAGTTGACATTTTGCTTTACTCCAGTTTATGACCTGAGAGCCTGGCTGGAAGTGACGGATCCAAACTTTTCACGTTAAAATGGCTGAGGGTGCAATAATCTCTAGTCTCCACATAGCGGGCTGGTATAGGAGCGTCTTGCTATGCTGCACCATAGCTGGCTAGTGATTCTCTTTTGGCTAGAAATGGCATTAATCATTATCTCCACTGGCGAAAATGGCACTTGACATCACCGAATGCAACGTCCATGTTGTTAGGATACATAAAATCAGGAAGATTACGCGAATTAGGTAGGCAAACGTGGAATAAAATAGGTGCTGGATGCTTTGGTTTTGGTGCTGAATCAGCAAACAGCAAATACGGAGTTCAACTAGACGATCTGGCCACTTTAGGCTGTGTGGAAGCAATTAGGTGCCAGATTCAGATATTAGGGTCGAATAAGCATTTTGGGGCTGATCAGCAATTAGGTGCCAGAAATAGCTTTTTGGGGACCAGAAACAAATATTCCCCATAAAGCTTTACTTCGTTACATGTAACTCGTAATACTCAAGAACAAGCCTGACAAATCCACTTTATAGACATTTACATTTTTATCTGTCAAACAGAATGATTGGTCATTTTCCAATCATAATATCGACACCTTTTTTTAAAACCCCACATCTGCTCTCCCGTGAATTTCCGTGAGGCACGAAAGATCTCCATTTAACCCTCGCACGACCAGGCCATTTCTCATAACACGAACGACCAGGGGGGGGGTTGTTACGACCCCCCCCCTGGCGTTTCGAAACGGAAGGTCGTAGAGCTTAGCGGAAAAAACCAACGGATTGCTCTCAACGAGATCTCGCGATTGGTGGTATATTTTTTGGTCCTAGGTCAACATTTGACCTACTTTTGACCGGTCAAAGGTCAAATTTTCGGAAAAATAGACTTTTTTCAACTTTCGGCGGCGATTGCGGCAAAACGGTGGGAGATATCGACTTGAAACCTTCACTATCGTGTTCCTTGATCAATTCTCTATCGTTTGGTATGTATTTCGTTTCCCTAGCTCTAAAAATGGCGCGTTGGGAGCGCCGGAAGTCGGCAAGGTCACAGTCGGCGGCAGAAATTCGAAAAATCAAAATTTAAATTTTTGAAATCTGATTGTATTTTTGGATTTGGGAGGTCCATTTGCTCCCTATAGAAGCTAATATTGCTGCATATTCCCATTGAGGTGACAAGAATTAGCAAAATAGTGGTTCGGGCGCTTTTCAAAAATAGTACCGGACGCTGTTCCTCTTGTGACGTCATAGCTCCGTGACCTGACCTGACCCGGTCAAATTTCTTATGCCATATGATAGCCAATACTTGCCCCAACATGCATGGGAAGTTTCATCACGATCCATCAACCGATGTCCGTACCACCGGCAGGAAACCTCGGGCGTTGGCACTCAGTTTGTGAAAATCCGGCCGGAGGCTGTACCTCTTATGACGTCATAACTCCGTGACCTGACATGACCCGATCAATTTTTTTTCGGCAAAAGATGCGCAAAGGTTGCCCCAGTGGGTATTGAAAATTTCAGCCCGCTACGACAAGTCGTTTAGCGTGCACTTCGAAAAAACCTCAGGGGGGGGGTTGATACAACCCCCCCCCTAGGCGTTCTAGGGTTAATAGTGTCCAATCGTCCGATCCTGATCATATATGTGTGTTCGTAGGCCTGTTCTGGTATTGCTTTATCTGCCAAGACAGACAAACTTGAGAAAAATCAAGTGATTTTACCTTTTTTTGAAGGTCTCTAACCAACTTGTCTAAAATTCACCGGAGAACAAATGTGGGGTTTAAAAAAGGTGTCGATATAAGGACACGTCCCTCTGATTGTGCTTTCAGTCTGCATGCCGGAAGTGAAACAAAAACTGCTTGAAGGACTGCATGCTAATGTGCACCATTATTGTAGATGTAAACCGCAACATTACCTCAGAATTCTTTGAGCATGAGAAAGACGATGGGAGGCAGCATTTAAAGGAGATCACGAGTCAGTCAAGCTACTCGTGTCCCGACGAAACACGTCATGGATAACAGCTCGTTGTGAAAATCAAATACAACAGTACTGCCTCCTCCAACCAAAACATTATCTCGCGACAGTCGGCAATACTGACCTTCTGGCCGGCCATCTTCTTGGCGTAGAGCCGGTCACGGACGCGGCGCCGCGCCTCCAGGGTCTTGACGACGTCCTGGTACTTCCAGCCGACCTCGTGTCCCAGACGGCCCAGCTCACAGTACTGCAGACACGGCACATCAACGGCGTTATGAAACAGGCCAGGGCAATAATTATACGGGACGGCCAGCATATGTGACCATGCCATCGGCATTAGACACATATAATACGCGGACAGACTAGTTGGTTTACAGACAGCATGAGATATTCGTACATAAAAAACTTCAACGTAGCACAACAATTAAATGGATTATAAACTGGCGACACACGTCGTGGTCTGTAACTTCCCGTAGTATCATCCTCGGGACAGCTTGAGAGGATGAGTTGCAATGGAAAGTCTTCATATAGCACATGTTTAAAAAAAGCACAGCTGAACACAATAATCCATAAGCAGCCGTGAATGTCGACATAATGTGCAGATCTGCGCTCGTAAAGGCGTCCCAATGAGGGGGAGGAACCGTACCGGGCGTCCGGGGCGGAGGCGCATCTTGCGCATGGCAGACGGCACGACCATGCGGCGCAGCTTCTGGTACTCGCGGGGCACACCCTCCACGCAGCGCAGGTTGAGCATGGCAGTGCCGCCGCGGCGGGTCTTGTGCGGCAGCATCCCTGCGGCCACACGTACCCAAGTCAGACGAGACGAGCAAATGGTACATAAGACTGGCCACGACGCAGCAGGTTAATAGACGACGGCGATAATTTGTTAATTGTTCATGTTAATTGGCGATAAGTGTCGTCCGTTAGCGCAAAGAAACGAGCGTGTAATGGTAGTATGATTTGAACGACAACGAGGAAAAATAACGACGATATAAAACAGGCCGTTGTCACATCGAGCAGTGATAAAAACAGACCATTAATTACGGAGCGAGCGAAGCGAGCGTAGTCTTTCCTTAGATTAACGGAAATTTCTGAGTATGAGCGGCCGGCCGGCCGGCCGGCCGTGCGGACGCTTTTGCGAGGCTTATATCACAGCAACCACTTGACCGATTTACATGCGGTAATTTTTGTAGGATAGCTTCATTCCTTCTACCAAGTATTGGACTATTCCCGATGCATTTGGATGACCCCTTATGCACGTGCCACGTGCAAAACGAAGAGGTGTCAGTTTTGTAATTGTTGCAATATCTCGGTAACTACTTGGCCGATTGCGCTGAAAGTTGGCATGTAGGTAGGCACCCACTAGGCACTGCATATACATGTGCCAGAGTTGGGGTGCTGCTGCACGTGCGCACGTGCAGGGGTCGTTTCCAGATCTCCAGAACGGCTCGACCGATTGCGCTCAAATTTGGTACACGGTTAGGGACCAGTTAGTAGGGTGCCGTGCACAAGTCAGTTGGGACCCATTATGCACGTGCGCACGTGCAGGGTGCCGCTCCCAGATCTCGAGAACGGCTGGGCCGATTGTGCTCAAATTTGGCACGTCGCTAGAAACCGGCCAGTAGGGTGCCGTGCACAAGTCAGTTGGAGGTAGCCCCTCGAAATTTCGCACGTGCAAGACTCACCCCCTCGCTCGCTCCGTTAGTCGCCCCAAAAGGCGCTATACTGGTTGTAACTTCCCGTAGTATCATCCTCGGGACAGCTTGAGAGGATGAGTTGCAATGGGAAGTGTTTTTATAGCACATATTTAAAAAAGCACAGCTGAGCACAATAATCCATGAGCAGCAGTGAATGTCGACATAATGTGCACACTACACGAACCACAAACCAGTGGAGTAGTGAATCACACAACCAAAAGTACAATTAATAAAGTTAATGGTATGGTATTCAAAGGGCTGTTCACGGGCCCTGTGTGCGGTTGGAACGTACACAGGCTCCAAGCTCACCCTCACCGCGCCCCGGCCTGCGTCAGCCTTCCGTCACTGCACACAGCGACCGCTGTGGCCGGTCGGGACTGGCCACAGCGTTAGTGTGTGCGGTCCACCGCACGCAGCCGTGTGACGTCATGCCGACTTCCCATCCCCTACCCCCACACCCGCTGCACACACCGCACTCAGCAGTGTGCGGTGCCCGTGAACAGCCCTCAGGACAAACCTCAACAATGTATCGTGACGATGAAAGACGATGGCATCGTCTTTCACTGGCAAAAATACAAATTTACAAATGGCTATTTGCATATATCATGCTATCATCGCATGAGGCTAAAAAGTAAAACATTGGTTACAGGGCTGTGTGTTTTCAGCGAGTCAACACCAGCAGTGTGAGTATACAGACAATCCTGAACAAAAATCCCTTAAGTGGCACATAAACAACCATGAACCACCCCAGCAGGCTTTTACTCGAGCCAGCACCAACCAGAACCACCATCATCCCTAACAGCTTCTTCTGACAACATTCTGAAGAAACGGAGCCTAAGCCTGCGTTCGGTTTTCACTGGAATTTCCACTTCACGAAAACACCCGTTCGGGCATCGCGGAACGTGATAAATATCGCGGGATCCCGCGAAACGGGACTGCCCGAACAGCCATCCTCAGCATGGAAACTCCACGCAAATGAAGAATCCCTCGGCGTAGAAATTTCAGGTAAAAAACGGCTCGTCCGAACGCACAGAAAATCTCGCCCAAGGTTAGGCGAGGTCAACTCACCTCTGATGACGCGACGCAGCATCATGCTGGGCGCACGGAAGTGGAAGGGACCGCGGGCCGGGTTCACGTTGCACCGCTTCCTGAGGTACTCCATGTACTTCATCTTGTTCCTGAAACACATGACAATTGACACATGATACAAATATTTGGATTTTATTACTACAGGACAGCCTAAAGGTAACATGGCTCTACAAAGCATATGTAGTTCAATGACTCCAATCAAGACTAAATAACCAGGGTTATTGATTATTGGCTGCAACAGCTAGGAATGCAACAGTTGTTAATCCTGACCTGCTACTCTAAGTAAACTAAGCAACAAAGCCTACATGTTGATCTATCAAGAAGGAAAAACATAGATTTGTTAATTATCTGAATATCTCAGGTTTCTCTTTAAAGAAACCCAACATTTCTTTTTAAAGCCCAATAAAGAACATTCTTGCTCAATAAATATCAAATAACATTACTAACTAGCATTTCCTTGCTCAAAACCCTTCATGCTTGCAACCTCCAAAATAAAAGTTTTCAGGAAACAAATGGTGAATTCAATGATCCAAGTACTCCCAAAGACAATCAATTCACAACCAAGCAGTCTTCAAAGCAAAAAAAAAAAAATTGTTTGCCACTAGAAACTCGGCCTGTAAAGACTAGGTAGTAGATACTTGCACATAGTCAGCTGTATAACAACCATTCTGGCAGTCTTCACATTATCATAAACCAAAACATACTTCCAGCAAGAAACCTTGGGCACCTACCTCAGTCCTCACTGGATGACAACTGATTACCCCAACAACTTTGCAAAATTTAAATTGCCAAGAGTCAAATGTTAGGAACCTGCCCATGACCCTATCTTATATTTAATACCATACCTGAAGAATGATCCAGAGATGTTGATTTCTTCACATTTCAGGACCACAACCTTGTCTCCATTGAGGAGAGCCTTGGCCACCACCGCGCCGAGGCGGCCGAGGAGGTGGCCTGAGCCATCCACCACAATAGCCTGAAACACCATGCATTCATGTAATATTAGCCACTCAGCATTTTGGTAGGGAGATCAAATGAACTTTATAGGATTACAGACTAACATTTGGTCATTGAATGCTTTGAGCATTTAGGCTGCAAGTGACTAAGAACTTGCCAAGACTTTATATGTGAAGATAAAGTCTGAGTGGTAGGTTGTAGGTATGTAGGTTATAGGTTGGTAGGCTGTTAAGTGTTAAGTAGGCTAGGTCTTATTAAGTCATGTTAAATTGTTTTTACCTACTCTGACTCCATGTTCACATTTACCACATATGTACTGTACAACAGTGGGCATGTTGAAATGTCTGAAGTTGATGAAACATTGCATTACAACATGGTCGTAAATTAATAAGGTATTAGTATATATTGAGTCCGAGTGGACAATTGTGACGCTGTTGATACAAATACGTAACAGCAAAACATTTAGGTTTTAGGTTAGGTTAGGTTGTAGGTTTTAGGTTGGTAGATTTGTAGGTTAGGTTAGGTTAGGTTGTAAGTTTGTAGGTTGTAGGTTGTAGGTAAATAGGTAAGGTTAGGTCAGGTTTGATTATGTTTTTTCTTTTATTTCCAAGACATATAGGTAGGTATCATTTTTGGATTCAGAATGTCAAATAATGTAAGAATATGAAAACTTTATCTTTTAACAGTCACTCGGACTCAATGTATACTTTTACCATTAATATCCCTTTTAATAATGAAAAAATGAAAATCTTGCATTTCAAAATACCTGCTTCAAGCTGTACCTAAGTACTATGCACGGCAGTGCGACAACAGCGAAATCAACAGAGCTGGGCGCGTTCCTCGATTTTCGGTAGTGCGTTAGCGTTCCTGCGTTCCTCCGGCCGCGGTTAGTGCGTTCCTGGAATAGCGTTCCTCATTTTTTTTTCGCTCGGTGCGTTAGCGTTCCTGCGTTCCTGCGTCCCAAACTGTTAACCCGTATTGTATTCTGGCTCTACCAAGCAGCAAATCATACCAAAATCAGTGCAACGCAACACTGTAGCGGACAAAGTAGGCAAATCGCGCCAGTCCAACACTACAGGCGTGTTCTTCACAACCGAAGTCGTGGACAAAGAAATACCGCCGAACCACGCGGCGCGGGCCCAACCAAACACGGGGCGAATCGATCACAGAATACCCAGAATGGCGACGCGGGGCCGAAAAGCAACTCGGCATCTCTTTTCCGAATCGAATATCTGAAATGCGTTTTACCAATATCATCCGTAGGGTTTTCAACAAAAATACGACCTGCTTAAAAACAATAGTTAAGTTGAAAGATGTATCTAAGTAAAAGTTATCATATTTACTTTACACATTTGATGCCTGAAACCGAATCGAATAGTGAACATCACCACTAAATCTAAACAAGCCTTCCTCGATTCGACCGACAAGTGGCGCCTCTACCGGCAAACACACGTACTCGAGATTCAAACATTTGACACAGAGGTCATTGGCAGCAATATGATTTTTCGGGTGGTTCCGCAAGAACGCAGGAACGCTTCAAAATTTCGGGTGGTGTGTTCCTCTTACTTGCGTTCCTTTGAAAAACTTTGCGTTCCTGCGTTCTTGCGTTCCTAAAAAGGGCGGTGCGTACGTACGGAAGAACGCAGGAACGCACTAAAGGAACGCACTTGCCCAGCTCTGGAAATCAAAGCAGGAAGAGGTAAATGTAAAAATATTAATAATTATGAAATTAATGCAATTACATAGTTGCAATGCTCACATCAATTAAACCTTGCACGCGTTCAACGGCCCGCGCAGGATTGGCCGCAGAAGTCGCAGATAATGATTTATCTAATGCAACAATGAATAAGCGACAAAGTTTCAGGACATTATTGATAGGCGAACCCAAGATGAGCAAAATATGATGCCTTGGACCTAGAACCCGTCTAAATTGTGTCCAAACAAACATACCCGCTTCCTCTCCGACATGTCGAGTTGGGGAAAGGAAGTTTACGCGAACGTCTTTTTACAGCACTGTCTTTGCAAAATATATTTTTTATTTTCACTTTTCCGGACATGTTTTGCATTGTCTTTTCAACGAAAATTAAAAAAACATACTATTTCGATGAAATAATTTGTCAAAATTTATTTGAATCTGATTCATTCGAAAGAATTGTTGAAACGTAGCACATGTCAAAGTCTACATATTCTGCGCAGTAAATACGAAAAGGTGCGGAACGAAAGCAATAATATTTTGTTCGATAAAGAAGTTTGCGACTTTTCCTGAACGAGTTGCATGGCAACAGCACCAAAAAGACGTCAACAGAAACAGGTTCCCAGGCAACGCGATTTTCCTTGATCAGACTATTCGTTCTAGAACAGAACAATTTGCGAAGGACCAATTTCTGGGCAGTGTTTTTATCAAGGCCGTAGAACTCAATGTTTCTGGGTAGGTACCGCATATTGCGCACATTTTTGTTATTATTATTATGATCTTGAGCATTTATATATTGTGATCGGTGCACCGTGTTGAATTCTTCTGACTATCTTAAGTGTTTGAAGGTTTATCCTTATTCTGTCTTTGCAGTGAAGCAGTGAAGATGGGAGAAAGCGCTTGGGGTGGAGGACTAAGCAAGCTTGCCGAGCCGATTAAAGCTGTGGAGGTACGTAGTGTTCCAATGGGCTTGCGCAAAGCACCCTTCTAACCGGTCGCTAGCGGTGTACCAAATTTGAACGCAATCGGCCCAGCTGTTCCTGAGATCTGGAAGCGGCATTCTGCACGTGCGCACTTGCAAACGGGGTCCAAACTGACAATTGCACGGAACCCTACTAGCTGGTCCCCAACCGTGTACCAAATTTGAGCTCAATCGGCCCAGCCGTTCTCAAGATCTGGATGCGCCCCCTGCACGTGCGCACGTGCAGTAGCACCTTAACTGCAACACATGGGAATGCATTGCCTGGTGGGTGCCTACCTGTATGCCAAGTTTCAGCGAAATCGCCCCAGTAATTACATAGTTATTAAAATGGGAACAAATTTGACTCCTCTTATTGTTGAATTTTGCACGTGCACTGGGGGTGACCCACATGCATCGAGAGTATCCTATTTGTGGTAGAAGGGATGCTGCTGCCTGCTACCCTACAAAAATTACCGCTAGTCAATCGCCCAAGCGGCTGCTGAGATATGAGCCTCTTAAAATCACTACTTTTGCAAAACAGCTTGAACACCCTTGACTTTTCACGTGGCACGTGCCACGACGGTCACTGAGATGTATCAAAAGTAGTCAATTACGGGGTAGACGGGATGGGGCTACCCAGCAAAAATGACCGCAGGCCAATCGGTCCAGCGGTTGCTGAGATATAAGCCTCTCAAAAGCGTTACAGGCCGGGCCGGGCCGCTCATACTGAGATTTTTCCGTTATATTGAAAAGACTCGCTGCGCTCGCTCGCTCGTAACCATACCATCAATATGTTGGGCATAACGAGCAGATTGCGCAATTTTTTTCCGCAGCATCATGCGAAATTCCTGACCGAAAAAATATGTTATGCTGGTTATGTCTTCCGTGGTGGCGGCATTGAATGGATTTTTTTTTTTTTAGCACGTGTGGCGTAGTTTCACATATGCTGAATTCAGTGCAAGACGGTCACCAAATTTCCATTACAGCTATGGTAAAATCTCGCTGTATTGCGCCAAAATTTATTAATGCTTCCTTTTGCACCAAACTATCTTCGTTCACCCGTGTGCCGAATTTGCAAATTGTGCTGAATTAGCTGATCAGCTTCTAAAAAGGTAGGTGGAATGTGTTAGTATTGGCTGTGAGTTGTGCCTCATCTTTCATCGGGTGTCTCATTATGTCCTCATCTGTTTCAGGACAAATGGAAGCTGTTGCCTGCGTTTCTTCAGACGAAAGGACTGGTCAAGCAGCACATCGATTCATTCAACTACTTCATCAACACTGACATCAAAAACATTGTCAAAGCCAATGACAGAGTTGTCAGTGATGCTGACCCTAGCTTCTATGTCAAGTAAGCTTCATTTTTACTGCATGACATTGCTACATTTTAATCATTTTCTGTAGAAATGTAGCTACATAAAATGGACTCCCTGATATTTTCAACTGTATGTCTCCAATTGGTAAACAGATGTATTTGTTGCTATCACTAATAACAGAAATAGAAGATACGTTTACTGACTTAGCCTTCTGCCGTTGCCGACACAGGTACTTGAACGTGCACGTGGGTGTGCCGGACGTGGAGGAGGGTTTCAACATGAGTCGTCCGACGTCTCCGCACGAGTGCCGTCTGCGCGACATCACCTACTCGGCCACAGTCACCGTGGACATTGAGTACACGCGCGGCAACCAGCGCGTCGTCCGGTGAGTGGGCTCCAAGCTCTGCGTATCTTTTCGCTCTCTTCACGTATGTTCCTCAGTGTATCAGTAGGACTCTTTGTCTCGGTAAAATAGATAGAAGCATAGCCAGTAGGTATGGCTGCCGATGAGCTGGATGCTATTCCGTGACTTCCGTTCGCGAGCTTCCGTGTTTTCTTACGAGTGAAAATTGTCGTTTTTGTGTAGGACATCATTGTTTAGCCTGTGCCAGGCTTGAGTCTCCTTTGTGATGCATCGTCTTGGCATCCTCGTTTTCCACCTACCCTCATCCCTTTTACTGTCACCTCGCCTCTGACTCTGCCTTGATCGTTGTATTTGTTCTCAGAAACGGTTTGCCGATTGGCCGGATGCCCATCATGCTACGGAGCTCCAATTGCGTGCTGGCCGGGAAGTCGCACGCCGAGCTGGCGCGACTGGACGAGTGTCCGCACGACCCGGGCGGCTACTTTGTCGTCCGGGGCACCGAAAAGGTGAGTAAACGCACTTTATGCATCCTGGTACCGCTAGCCCTTCAAACCTGTACTGGACGAGTGGTTTTGGACTCTGCATATCACGTAGTCACCCAACCAATCAGAAAGACACCTCCGTGTCATCAGTCATGATCTAATCAGTATATCAAATCGTGGCGTACGCAACAAGCTGCTGCCTAGCGGGCTTCCGGGTTCCTGGTCAGCCCCATTCGATCAGTTGTTGCACATTTGTTCGTAACACTTTTTTGCCTTTTCTGCCCCGTGATTTATCACCGAGCTTCTGTTCGGGAAACGGACGTATTGCCCGTTTTTACTTACGAATGCATTTGTTATCTGGGTGCTGTCCCATCGTTAGAAGGCTGTCATTCGTACCCAAACCCGCTATATGCGTGCTGGCCGAAGTACGTGACTCCTCGGGTGACCGGCACTTACGACTGTTACAGGTGGTGCTGATTCAGGAGCAGCTCAGCAAGAACCGCATGATTGTCGAACAGGACAGCAAGGGTCAGGTGCAGTGCCAGGTCACCAGCAGCACGCACGAGAAAAAGTCGCGCACCAACCTCATCTTCAAGCGTGGCAAATACTACCTGAAGCACAACACCTTCAAAGACGTGAGTATCGGAAAAGCTGTGGTGGGTGGTGACCCGGACTAAAGGTCAAAATGATTTACGTGGGCCTAGCAGCAGCAGAGCCAGTCGTCCAAGGAAGTGAAAGCTATGTGGTAGATTACTTCCGTGACACTGTATGTAAATACGTACAATTCCATATTTTGTCGCTATAATAAGACTCGCTACAATGGGGTGGGCGTCCTCCCATAGCCTATCGGCCTGATTGCGTCACTCAACGAAGCAGTGACGTTATTAAACTTTGTATTGACGTCATCGACCGTTTGCGACCGTAATCTGCACACCCGTCTGATCGCGTCTACTCAACCGGTGACGCTCTCGGCTCTATGCGGCAACTGACGACATTTTCTCCCCGCCCTGTCGCCGTTTTTTTCTGCAGGTGATTCCCGTGTCGATCGTGTTCAAGGCGATGGGTATCGAGTCAGACCAGGAGATCGTGCAGATGGTCGGCACCGAGAGCAGCATCATGACCTCGCTGGCCTCCACCATGGAGGAGTGCCACCGCGCCCAGGTCTTCACACAGATGCAGGCGCTCAAGTGAGATATTCGGGATGGGATAATGTCGTGCTTTAGATGTGAGGTGCAGCTTGTTTTTGATACTCGTGTTATTATCGCATTATCAGCTCTGAATTGTCATGAACCCTTTGATTTGCTTATTTACCAACATTCGGCACCGGTAGAGTCTGAGCACGCCACCCGTCTCTCTCGCTGTTCTTCCACAGGTTCATGGGCAGCAAGCTGGTGCAGAAGATGTACATGGGCAGCTTCGGCCAGAAGAAGACGCCAGCGGACGAGGTTCGGCACATGCTGGCCACCACCATCCTGGCTCACGTGCCGGTAAGTACTCAGAAATCAGAATGCGTAAGGAGTAGTTCGACATTTATCAGTCATCTTACACGTCATAGGGATTGGCTCAGGTAACCGCTCAAGGCAGGTGTGTTGTAGCATCCTCGTGGCCTTGTGGTACCACTAATCTAATCACTATGCATTCACGTAAATTAGATGTGAGCTGTACGAACTTGCATAGGCATCGCTGCTGTCTTCATCGCTGTGTGCTGGGGTATTGGTTTGTGGTCGGAGAGCTTGTGACAACACCTGACACCTATCGGCCAGGTGGAGAACTACAACTTCAAGATGAAGGCGTTCTACCTGGCGCTGATGGTGCGGCGTGTGATCGAGGCGCAGGCTGACGAAAAGGTCATCGACGACAGAGACTACTACGGCAACAAGCGTATGGAGCTGGCTGGGTCTCTCGTCTCGCTGCTGTTCGAGGACCTGTTCAAAAAGTTCAACTGGGAGGTGAGAGTGCGCAACTGGCGAGAGTGTCTCGACTGACGTGTGCGAGAAATGACGTGCAAGTGTGGAGAATCGTGAGATGACGCAACTGATGTGAGGAGGGGATAGCTATGGCTGTGGGTGTGCGTGATTGGCGTATGGGAGGTCATTAGTGTGATCAAGTTTCTCCTCGAGGTGATGGATTTGCGCACTGTGCTCGGTTTTCAAGAGCATGACCAAACACCCTGGACTCCGCCAGATAGGGTACGAGGGCGCATCCATATCCTGAGCTGGAAAAGGTCTACCGGTTCCATATGCTCACGCCAGTGATTCCTGCCGAGTGATAATCCATTCCTCCGATCTTACAGCTGAAGATGATCGCCGACAAGAACATCCCCAAGGTGAAGGCGGCCCAGTTTGACGTGGTGAAGCACATGCGGCAGGACCAGATCAGCTACGGACTGGAGCAGGCCATCTCCTCGGTAAGCGAAATGTCACGCCTCTGTTCCGCCGGACGTGTCAGGTTCCTGCCACTCGGGGCTGGTGTTTGTCCCGTCCCTCTCTGCACCGGCTTCGTCCGAGAGTCGGTGCGCCCCTGGGGAACTGACTTGGTCTGAGCTGGGCAGTGGTCATTTGTGGTTTCTGAAGCCAGCTTAAGTAGGGCAGTGCCAGTTTTACGGGTGCTCGTCTTAGTGGCGGATCCAGGGGGGGGGGGGGGGGGGGGCAAAATGGGCATTTGCCCCTCCCAAACGGCATAATTTTTACATTACGCCTATGGACGAGGCATGGAAATAATCGATAAATTGTTATGGTTTGCCCCCCCCCAAAAAAAAAAAAAAATTCTGAGCTGGATCCGCCTCTGGCACGTCTGATCCTGTTTTTGGGTAGCCTAGCGTGTTATTTTTACGGAACTGTCACAGCTAAGCAGCGTCCGACCGTCTAAAATTCTGAAGTCTGTCTCCTTTCGTGCGTTCACGTCTTGCGGCTACTCATTTTCAGGGTAACTGGATCATCAAGCGGTTCAAGATGGAGCGCCACGGCGTGACCCAGGTGCTGTCTCGACTCTCCTACATCTCCTGTCTGGGCATGATGACCCGAGTCAACTCACAGTTCGAGAGGACCAGAAAGGTAGGGAGCTGTCGAAAGGGTAGGGGAGAAGTCGGGAAGTAGGGGCAGCCGGATCAGAGACGCCAGCAAAGGAGGGAAAAGCTGGGAAACTACGGGAGAAGTCGAGAAAGTAGAATAGCCGGGAAGCATGGTAGCTGCCAGGTCGGCCCCAGTCGTATGTCGGGGCGATAGTTTGATGATAAAGTGGACTTGGATCCGATTTAACTTAGATGTAGATGACCGCACGTGGATATTGAATAAGGACTAAAAGGAGCGCATAAGTGATTTCCGTTTTTGTTGAGTCATGAGTTTTACTAGCTTCGACGATGTAGAATGATGGCGTTGTGTGCTCCCCTGACAAATAGCTTCTGTTCTGCCCATTATCTGTCCCTAGAACCACCCTTTTCCTCTGTTCCTCCCGCGGTTTCCCCGTTCTCTAACCGTCCGCTCTGTCCCGGCCAGGTGAGCGGTCCGCGCTCTCTCCAGCCGTCCCAGTGGGGTATGCTGTGCCCGTCGGACACGCCCGAGGGTGAGTCCTGCGGTCTGGTGAAGAACCTGGCTCTGATGACCCACATCACCACCGAGGCCGACGACACGCCTATCATCCGCGCCGCCTTCAATATCGGGGTGGAGGACATCAACTTCCTCTGCGGCGAGGAGCTCAGCCACAAGTCCGTCTACATCGTCTTCCTCAACGGTACGTCAGACTGGCGTTATGCACTACTCTGTCCCCCAGTGTGATGGTCCCATCGACGCTACCAGGCTGATAAAATGATCATAGATTGCTGCACAATGTTTCCCTGTCTTGCTTTCAATATTTGTTTACTGCGTTTCTAGTTAGCTGTAGCATTTCCGTCACCGGCGACCCTTTGCCTAGTAATTAGGCTGGGCACCAGGTAAACTCCATGACTGTCTAGCCTCGCTGGTAGCATTACGAACATGGGCATCTTGTGTTGGTACCCAGAACCGTGTGACGATATGTGACCCATGTAATATCTTTATGTTCCAGGGAACATTCTGGGCGTGACGCGCAACTACCGCCGTCTGATCACGACGTTCCGACTGCTGCGGCGCAGCGGCCTGCTATCCGGCTTCGTCTCCATCTACCCCAGCCACAAGCACCGCTGCGTCTACGTCAGCTCGGACGGTGGCCGGCTCTGTAGGTCAGTGACTTGTCTCGTGGGCGGCTCCGTAGGTCAGTGAGCTCCCCAAAACAGAGCCTGGCTGGCTAGTGACTCCCCTTAACTGTTGAGTTTAAGTTTAGTGACTTCCCCACAGCCGACTCTAGGTCGGTGACTTTCCCGCAACAATAAGCTGCTGGTCGTTGACTTCGCAGCAATAAGCCATGCTGGCTTGTGATTTCCCCACGGACGGCTTTGCTGGTTAATACTCCCACTTCGACTAATGCATTGATAGGTCCGTCCATCGCTCTCAGTATGTTTGTCCTACTGATCTAGACTGCCGCTGACTCATCCTCTCCCTCCTCTCCCAGGCCTTACATAATCGTGGAGCGTTGTCGCCCGCGTGTGACGGCCGCCCACATGGAGGAACTGGCGCGCGGCCTGCGCACCTTCCAGGACTTCCTGCACGACGGCCTCGTCGAGTACCTGGATGTGAACGAAGAGAACGACAGCAACATCGCCCTCTATGAGAAAGACATCACATCGGTGAGTGTAGCGCGGCTGCTGACGCTCTGCGACCTGCGTTTGGCCGGGTGAAAGATTTACGAGTGTGAGACAAGGTGATATGTCAATTGCTAAACTCTAGGAAGTCGTACGCACAACCCCTTCACGCCTTCTAGTTAGTCTAGATGCTTGGGTTCTTCGTGGGGCTTGCCCACGCCCTGACCGGTTTTAAGAGCAGGCACTGGACGGCGGCAGATTGTGCTGATCGATTGTTTGTTTCCCATGTCGCGCTCGTCAACTTTGACGGCCCGTTTTATGTGTTTGTTTACAATGCCTTTCCGTTATCATCACTCCTGTGATGCTGAATCGCCGCCATATTTTCTCTATCAACAATCCAACGAGTGCAGAATGGAGTTTTAGTGCTGTTTTTGCCAGTCGAGCGCCTGTTGACAGCTCATCGTCTGTCTTACTGGTCCGTCTAGTGTACGTGAGTCTCTCTCTCTCTCTCTCTCTCTCTCTCTCTCTCTCTCTCTCTCTCTCTCTCTCTCTCTCTCTCTCTCTCTCTCTCTCTCTCTCTCTCTCTCTCTCTCTCCCTCTCCCTCTCCCTCTCTCTATATCACTCTTTCTCTTTCTCGTTCTCTCTCTCGTTCCCTCTCGTTTCCGTCTTCGTCTGCCTTAAAATGTTCAATGTGTCGTCCCTTTTTCGATCTGCATGTAGTTATCTATGACTCGACTCACTTATGTGCACAAGCTGCCACCCATCTGGAGCTGGAACCATTCACCCTCCTGGGTGTACGACCGTGTCTGTCTGTCTCAGCCTGTGTCTATCTCTGTGTAACCCACAGGCCACCACCCATCTGGAGGTCGAACCGTTCACGCTGCTAGGAGTGTGCGCTGGACTGATCCCGTACCCACACCACAACCAGAGTCCTCGAAACACCTACCAGTGCGCCATGGGAAAACAGGCCATGGGTGAGTGTTGCGCCGCGCGATGGGTTGGCCACATGAGGACGTCCTAGCTAGGGGACTCAATTAGGGGACTATTTGGGGATGGGTTTTGTGTGCTTGAGGAGGGCGGGAGACTGAGTCTGGGCAGGGTTTGGGGTCACCAGCACCTTGTGTTCTTCCCCCGGACGACACTAATTGATTGTGTCAGAGCGCTCTAGCTATACAATGCTGATTGCTGAAATTTAGTGTCAGTTGAATTGCCCGTCTCGATCGAACAAGGCGTGTGAGTTGGACTGTTCTTTAGTTGGGCAGGCGTATTTAAGGACGGACCGTTGGTGAGTTTGAAGAACTGTCCGTGAGTCAGTGAGTACTCGAGTTGGACGAATTGCCCATGAGCCGGCATTCCGCCCGCGGGTGGGATGGACCGTCTGGGCTGGATCATAGACCGCTACATATCAAGGAGTCTATGATTGTATGTTTGGTCAGTCAGGCTGTCGGTCTCAGACTTGGACCAACTATCTTAATCTAGCCGTCTGTCAGTTGGACCGTCGCAGCCCGTCGCATTCATACCCCGTCACAGTCGCAGCCCGTCCGTCTCAGGCGCGCCTCTCATACGGACCGCCTACTCGGCTGTCATCTGGCCGGTCAGATTGACCGCCTGCTGACCTTGTCATTCGTCATCCGTGTGGCCTGGGGCCAGCGGATGAGTCGCCGGCTGTCGGCACCCAATTGACAGTCGCGGCTAATATTACACCGCGCCGCGCCGCGGCCCGTTCTGACACCGACGGCCGCCATCACCGGCCGTAGGGCGACAATGCGCGCTCCAGAGCTCTCATCAGACGGGTCGTGTCGCCCGCTATCCGGCTCATTTAGGCTTATCGCGGACCATTTAGGACGCTCGTCGGATGTTGAGTGGGCTGCCAGTGAGTGCCTCTTGCTCGCCGCTTGGTGGGCGGTGGATGCAGCAGTCTGGCTCTGAATTCTGTAATGTAACAGGGAATCTAGCGATCAGATTGTAGAGGCCAGGACCTCTGTGTGCAGCAAGCTTAGCGTAGCGTCTTTTTTCTTTGATAACATTACTTAATGAAACCCGTCTTTTGAAATATTCAGATTATCTATATCTGACCGATGTCTCGCAGAGGCAAACGCAATTCCGCAACACAAGTATCGTAGACCATCGATACTGGAAAGCTTATTGAGTTATCTGAAACCACATATTACACATTGATCAATTTTGGTTTATCTGGGTGCCTAGAGAGTTATAAATGTAGCCATCGCGGATGTATGATTGTAGACATCCCAATCATCGGTGGTAATTATATGTGCGGAAAACCAAAGACCATGTTTCATTGTAGATCATGTCCGCTCGATTTTCCCCAGCCGTTGGCCCACTCCTATCTCATTTTCATACTCATTCTCGTCGCCACGTCCCAAATTGTCGTTCTGCTCGAAAGCGGCTGGCAAAAGGCATGTGGGCTGTTCTAGTGTTCTGTGTGCATTCGTAGTATTCATGTAATGATGGTTAGACATTACTGAAGCACCTAATTCACCTCACACCAGGTTTTGCTCATTTTAATGGTTTTGTAAACATGTAATCGTTCGTTGGATTAAAAAAAAAATAGTCTGAAGTCTTTGAATGGAAGGATTCACAAGGATAGAGCCCCCGCTAAACGAAGCTTGTTGCGTTGACCCTGCCCTCTACCCTCCGATCGCGCAATTCCGGTTCTATGCAGAATTTGGAGTCCAAAGTTGAGCGTGCGCACATAGCCGCACGGTCGATCCCCTTTATGAATTCGCCTGGCTACGGCCTGCCACCAACGGCAGCCATACCCGTCAGGAGGCCCATAAATGTCGAACGCCCGTCGCGCTTCGAACCCGGACTGTTATAACCGGGAACGCGTGATCTCACCACGATGAGTCCAGCGCTCTACCGACTGAGCTACGGGCAGGCGCGTAACCACCACTGGGGACACTGGGGACCGGTCCCCAGTAACTTTTGGGTTACTGGGGACCGTCCCCAGTAAAACCGACGACCTCAATTTGCTTGAATAGCCAAATATTGTCTCTAAATCGGCGTGAAGAGTAATATGTAGTCAACGGAAAACAAAACTGGATGTTTTGTTTAGCCAGCGCCCGGGTGGGCCTCTCAAGTAACCAACTTAGCCATGGTGGGGGGGGGGGCTTTTTGGCCACACCAGATTCCCTAAGCAAGCTAGAAAGACGCGGTAAGAAGCAGCAGATAGCTCGCTACAGTATCTTTCAGAATTACCTATGTCATTTTTGATCAAGTCATCGCTCAGGTCACTGGAGGTCACCAAAGGTAAAATTTTCACAAACTTTATTCCCAATTTTGACAACTTTTCACAAATTGGCGCATACGTCAGGAACCAATAGAGCTGCAGTGCTGCGGGAAAGCGCATTCGATAGTTTTTTCAAAGACCTTTCTGAGCAATGTTCTCAGTTTTGACCTAAGGTCAACGGTTTAGCTTCCAGGTTGGCGTTTTGCGGGAAAGGTTTTTGTATCATAACTTTTGACTCAAAAATAGCATGGCGCTGATTTTACCGGCATCGCGTTGGTCTCGTCGAGACGCATGGAAGGAAAAGGTCATGTTGCATGTCATGCAATTGGTATTGTTGAGTTGAACACATCCATGGTGTTTGCGCTCTAACATGTTTCTACCTAAAGTAATGGTAAAAAACTGCTGGAGATGTTTCATGACCTGAGATGATCTCAGAGGCATAGAAGGGGTCACAGGTGCAATTTTCCGGTTCAGTGTGTCATGTTTACCTGTGTCGGTGCGCGCCGCGGTTGTGCTTACACGCGCAACAAAAAAAAGGCCGGTGTGGCCAAAAACGCCCCCCACCATCTCCCCCCACACACTCGGGCGAAGGCTGATCCTGAAATATTATATTTGGTCTTCGCGGCCTTCCATGTGGTCCCCAGTAACTTCAGACTCGTGGTTACGCGCCTGGCTACGGGATGGGCTTGATTTTAGGATGAAGTTAAGAATCGTTAAAATTAAAGATAAAATTTAACATTTAAAATAAAAAGTGTTCGGAGGAGCCAGTGTATTCAATCGTGTCATTCACACAACGCGGCTGCTCTCAATTGATCCTCCACCTCCATCCTCTATCTTCCCAGCTACCTCCTCAGCGCTCAGGTTCGGCACATACGAGTATATCTGAAACGATATTATTTACACTCGACGAAAATAATCAATAATCATGTTCCACGATGGAAGTCTAGGCTGATGCCGACATCGAACAATGTTATGATTCCATCTCTTGTCGGCAGGCACCATCGCGTGGAACCAGCGGAACCGGATAGACACGCTCATGTACAACCTAGTGTACCCGCAGAAGCCCATGGTCAAGTCCAAGACGATCGAGCTCATCAACTTCGAGCAGCTGCCGGCCGGCCAGAACGCCATTGTCGCAGTGATGAGCTACAGCGGGTGGGTGACAGACTTCGTCCCTTTGTTCGTCCGTTCGTTTGTCTATACCGGGTGGCCAAAAAAAAAAAACGTTCCGAACTTTGGAGGCCTATATCTCAAATTCGAGTGCAAATAACGAGCCAAAATTTTCATCAAGGTTGCGTCACTTCTTTGCGCATTGGTATGTCAAATTATAACACTGTAACATCATTTTCAAGCCAGCAATCTTATGTTGAATTCAGTAAGACGTTTTTGCTTTTTTTTTGCCGATGTTGAACGGCAGTAATGATTAGCTTAGACGTACCATGTTAGAAAAAAGAATGGAAAAATAGAACACGTGAATGAAACCAGCACGTGTGATATTATTTTAAATATTTTTGTCCCACTTATGTGCCAAATATTCAAATACTGAGCCAAAATAGTGGTAATGGATGCCATTTGTTTTAACAAGTCCTGTTTCGAGCAGGAGTGGCACGGTGCATGGGTTACTGCTGATCGCCCTCCCTTTAAGAAGATCAAACAGTAAATTGACCGAATAAGGAAAAAAGCTAGAGGGAATGTGTCACCCTGAGGCCTGAACCATCAATGAGACTAGTTGCCAGTAGCAGTCATGGCTGCAGGCCGTGGTGCCGAGATGGAAGTGGCCCGTTCACTCACCAGTAAACATCTGAGCAAAAAAAAAGAAGTAATTTTTACATGGCATGCTAGAAACACGAACCATTTAAAAAGTAATTGACCGAATAACATAAAAATCATACCATTTACTGAAAATGTATGCCGCATTGGCTATTGGAAGTTGTAATGTTGTATCATTATCGCTTTCTGAGAAATATTGATTTAAAGTTGGGAACGTTTTTTCTGGGCCACCCGGTATAATTGGTTCTGTCTGTCCTTCCGTTTTTCCTTATATGTGGCTTCGTCACCCCGTCCGTCCATTCGTCCATCATTGTGTCTATCTGTCTGTTACGCACTTGACTATTTTACGTTGCCCTGTGCCATCGGAATTTACATCATGTACTTCTTCAAGCGTTATGTCGACTTTCTGGATACTGATGATACTCATGGATACTTCCGTTTGCAGGTACGACATTGAGGACGCTCTGATCCTGAACAAGGCGTCACTGGACCGCGGCTACGGCCGCTGCCTGGTCTACAGAAACGCCAAGTGTACCCTCAAACGGTGAGCATTGAGACTGAGAGCGAGTGCCGTGCATGCGAAGACATACATTACACTGCATTCTCGACACTGCTCATTTTGACAGCCGACACAAGGCATTATTATGAATGCTGATCCCCGCCGATGTGCTGACCTTGCGAACCAAGGAACACATCGAGAGACTTGATTCGTCGTACTATCGCAGCCTGCCTTCTGACTGGAGCACCTGTTGTGGTTTAAAGTAAAGTACACTTAACCACTCTGTTTACCGTCGCCAGGTACGCCAATCAGACGCACGACCGAGTGCAGGGCCCGCTGGTGGACGCCGTCACCAAGGAGCCCATCTGGAGACACCGGGCGCTGGACGCCGACGGTATCACTGCTCCGGGGGAGGTGAGTGGGACGGTATCACCGCGCCGGGAGAGGTGAGTTGGACGGTATCACCGCGCCGGGAGAGGTGAGTTGGGCGGAATTCAGGCACAGGAGAGATACTCATGGAATTGGAGTTCCACACTCATGGAGTTCCACACTCATGGAGTTCCACAGTGGAACGGAGTTCCACTCCAGGAAATTTAAAATGCATTATAGGTATGCCTCAGCCCCGAGAGAAAAACGGGCATAAACGCTGTTACTGAGGAGTCCAATAACGAGGTGACCACGCCCCAGTATAGTTTTCGACATCCCTTAACCCTATTCCTGGCGGGGGGGGGGGGCCTCAGGAGCCCCCCCCCCCTGAGGTTTTTTGGTTATTTCTCCCAAACGCGTTGAGCTAGGAAGCTCAAATTTTCTGACTTTTCCTAAAAGGCTTCTACGCAACATGTCTGAAAATTTTGAGTTGATCTGACCTCAGGTCAGGTCACCAGAGGCGGTTTGGTGACCCTACCTCAGAAAAGTTTGCAATCACGCCAGAGCTAGAGTTTTTGACCGATCAATTTCTTCTCTTCAGGCTTTAGTTAGGGTACCAGTATGTGCAATTTGTATATCTCGGAATTTTGATATCGGTGACCTAAGGTCAGGTCAGTTTCGCGACCTCCCCATTATAAGTCAATGGGGGAAAAATCAACTCCCTGTTTTTACCACTAAAACGGGTCGGAATGGCCCCATATACCATACATGACTTCATATACGATCAACCTTCACTACCTTGAGGTCTGTTTTGCTGTTGGGCAGCTGTGAGGTCATGTGACGTCATCAAAAGTCACCAAAGGTTTTTGGCCAATAACTCCGTACAGGAACAAGATACAGACGCGTGGATGGTCTCATTGTGTTCAGCTCGTCAAGACGCATCGAATGATATACATGATGACCTCGAGGTCACGTGACCTGAGGTCAACCTTTGACCTTGACCTTGCGAGGTCAACATATATATCATTCGATGCGGATTGACGAGAGGATCACGATGATGCCCTTAGTTTGTTCCTATCTTGACTAATTCGAAAGTTATTCGAGAAAAACTCTCTCCATATCTAGCGCCGCCATTTTGACTTTTTCGACCCCTGTGACGTCATCTTTGACCTGACCTGAAAATGACCTTAGTAAAAATTGTAGATCTTGACCGTGCGTATCCGATGCCGTTTACCGTTTGTCGCTATCTTGCTTCGTTCTCGAGATCTCAGGGGGGGGGGGGCCGAATCGGCCCCCCCCCCCCCCGCCAGTTTCTTGTCCCGGCGGAGCCCGCCAGGAATAGGGTTAAGAGGTAAATCATGCACAGCCTTGTTACCATCGGCCTTCGGTGTTTGGTTTCTAGATAAGGATGAAAAAGATGCCATCATTCGGCTCAACTGGCTGTTTATTTTACTCATCTCCCGCCCCTCTAACGCTCCTCCGCTGTCTCTCTCCGTCAGATCGTGGAGAACAAGCAGGTGCTGGTGAACAAGTCGATGCCGACCATCACGATGAACCCGCTGAACGCTCCTGCCGGCGCGCCGCGCCAGGCACCAGAGTACCGAGACGTCCCGATCACGTAAGTGCCGCTACGAACCAGGGCGCTGGCCGGGACCGCGCCGGCCTGTCTCCTCGCTTTATTCTGTGACAAATTACTAATGGATCGCTTTTCGGTATGTTTAGATAGTCGCTTTGCCAAAATACTTTGGCAGCGGACCGGACTGGTAAACTCGTCTGTTTGCTCTTTTGGCTATGTTTGCTGACTTGAGAGGACTCAGACAAAACAATAAAGCAATCAGTTCCTCCTTACAGTTGTTTCGCTGTGGCTACCTGTTCTTCCCAGACTGTCGGGCTTTATGGCTCTTGAGCTCACCTGTTTTAGGTGTGGCACCTGATATGATGTATGGTGTACTATATGATGCTTAGCAGTGACATGACCTTCGTTTGACCCACCTCTTCTCCAGCTACAAGGGCCCGGTGCCGTCTCACATCGAGAAGGTGATGATCTCGTCCAACACGGAGGAGGCGTTCCTCATCAAGCTGCTGCTGCGCCAGACGCGTCGGCCGGAGCTGGGAGACAAGTTCAGCAGTCGACACGGCCAGAAGGGAGTCACAGGTGCGTTCAGGGGGCGCGTACCTCGTAGCGACTTTTTGACCATAATCCAAAATGTTTGTGTTTTTTAAATTTACTTGACGTTTTGCTGAGCAGCCGGATAGTTATTTTTACATTGAAAGTTGGGTACCTACTAAGCCGGAGTGCTTTGTATGTAGTGTTGGTGGCATTTGTACCCTCTGACCTATGTAATCGACTTAATTTCGGGAGCCTGTTGGTAAAGCAGTGGTGACCATGACCGGCGAGGGTGGCATTTAACCCTGACTGGTGACTCCGATTGGTGACCAGCAAGGCGACCCTACCCACTGACCGATGGCCCTAACCCTGACCAACCCTGACCGGTAACTATTGCCACTATTGCCTGCCATCCTCTGACCAGCGTCTGAAGGGCGTTGGCCTGTGTCGGTCTCCACTATCCCCTGGCGTCGGTTTGGGCGGCGCGCCGGTACCCTCTGTGGAATGTGACCGTCACCGGGCGCCCCTCCCTCCCCCCTACGGCCGGTGTGACAATGATGGACGCCGCCCAGCCGACCGGCGCCCGATGGCCTCGGCGCCGGCGGCGACCGGCCGACCGGCGCTGGCCGCACGCCAGACCATTCTCTGGCGCACCGCAGACGGCCCATGGCGCACCGGGGACGCTCTGCGCCTCCCGTCCTACCCCTGATGATTGGTCACGGCGCTGCGTGCCGTCCTAGCTGTCCTCGGCTCCCTGTATGTGCTCCACTGAAACACGGCCGCTGCCAAACGGCTCGGCAGGGGGAGGTGGATGAACTGAACCTCAGCCATGAAACATTGCGAACTGAACCATGCTGAACAAAGGAGATACGCTGTGTGGCTGTCGTTTGCATAGTCGTCAAAAATAAATCACGGGTAAACGGTGTCGTAACTTACCTACGTAACATTTTTCATTATTTTGTAGCTAGCAATTTATTTTTGCTGTTCTGGGCTGGCAGTGCTGGCAGCAGCTGGTCCTCCGCTGCCAGCATCCGGCCCTACCTTTCCCGGCCACGGCTCAGGGAGGTCCTGTTATTATTTTACTAACAATTAACTTAAGAAATGCTATTAATTTTTCCTCGACGAGCAGCATCCAACGATGAGGCTTACTAACTAATGTACATACCTTACTAATGCTTTTAATTTTTCCTCAACGATTAACACCCAAAAACGGGTTAACCAAAGAAGCTGAGTCTAACAGAACACGCCTTTCTCGGCATATCTTCACCGCCTGCACTGTCTGGCCTCAGGTCTGATCGTGGACCAGGAGGACATGCCGTTCTCGGACCAGGGTATTTGTCCGGACATGGTGATGAACCCTCACGGCTACCCATCGCGTATGACGGTCGGCAAGCTGATGGAGCTGCTGGCGGGGAAGGCGGGACTGATGGAGGGCAAACACCACTACGGAACCGGTGAGTGGGTGATAGTGGAGTCGGGTCCGTTTGGGTGTGCGGAGTCACTGGGAAGGATAGATAGCGGAGTAGAGTGTGTGGGTCCGCGGTGAGCAAAGGAATGTGATATATTAACTTGGGAACATATAAGTAACAGTTCACAGAACTGTTAACGAATTGAAGGTGAAGAGGGAATAGAATGGCAAGTAATTGGGTCGAACCAGAAGCGTTTGCTGAGTGTGTGGTGTGCAAGAATACCGGTGAATGGTCATTATGCTGCTGGTCACCCACTCTGTTGATACCGGGGACCAAGACACTTGACCCGCCCATGTGACTTCTGGCTCTGACTCCGACCTTTCGTCCCGCAGCGTTCGGCGGCTCTCGTGTGAAGGACGTCAGCGAGACGCTGGTCCGTTTTGGCTACAACTACCAGGGCAAGCAGGTGATGACGTCCGGCATCACGGGAGAGACGCTCACCGGCTACATCTACTTCGGACCGGTCAGTTGCGGATCGCCTGGGGCAGTGGACAGGACTTGGGAGGGGGCTGCGTATACTGGACTGGTTGGTGGACCGTAGAGGGATGTCCGGCCGATATGCCGGGATTCGCCGGTGGCACGCTGCTGAAGAAAAATTTTATTCGGTTTCTCCCTCCATCGTTTCTTTCTAGAAATTTACTTTTCCATATGCAGTGTTGAATGTACTCTTTTTTGCCTTTGATACTTTTTGTGTCATTTTCACATTAGACCAGACTTAAGCTTCTAAAGCGCCACTTTTAACGCCATTTTCAATCCAGGGTACCTACCTATCTACCCGCCGCTCGCTACGTCAGAGTCCCGTCTGACCTGCGTCTCTCTACGTCTCAGATCTACTACCAGAAGCTGAAGCACATGGTGCTGGACAAGATGCACGCTCGTGCCCGCGGTCCACGTGCCGTGCTGACTCGCCAGCCAACCGAGGGACGCTCGCGCGAGGGCGGCCTCCGTCTGGGGGAGATGGAGCGTGACTGTCTGGTGGCCTACGGCGCCTCCATGCTGCTGCTGGAGAGGCTGATGATCTCCTCAGATGCCTTCGCCGTGGACGTCTGCAACACGTGCGGCTCGCTCGGCTACTCAGGATGGTAAGTGCTTTGTGCTTCGGTAGTGCTCTTTTGGCATTGGCAATGTTCCGCTGCATTGGAAATGTGTCTTAAAGAGATTATGCCCAGTGTGTTCAAGCAGCGTCGCTGCGTGCCTGGAAAGGATATTTTTAGGGACAGTAGAAATGAGGAGCTAGGAGATGGAAAATACGGCAATGAAATGGCATCCTATCATGTTTATGTGAGCGCTTGAGCTATGACCCGTCGTTCGTCTCACACCGACCCCATCTTGTCCTCAGGTGCCACTTCTGCCAGTCGAGCGGCGCGGTGTCCTCCATCAGGATACCGTACGCCTGCAAACTGCTCTTCCAGGAGCTGCAGTCCATGAACGTGTTCCCCAAGATCAAGCTGAAGAAGTACTGGGAGTGAGCGGGAAGGTGGGTGGGTGGCTGGGCTACCCGGGTGCACTGCCGTTTGAGATGCTGTTTATGGGCGAGCGCTGTTGGTCCTACCAGTCTGAGCTGGTAGTTTTGTGATATACGAGTATTGTGTACCGGTCAATACACGCCAACGTACCCCGCGCACGGCCGGGTGCGCTGGACATGACAATAACATCGGCATTTGCTACTGGATGGAGCCAAAACGTTATGTGGGTTGGAAGGTTATCGGTTACACGTATCTACACACTTTGGGACGATTTTCCAGTTTACTTTAGTAATTTCTCGGTCCATGCTGTAGGGGGAGGAGAAAAAACGCCAATGTCTCGATAGCCGAACCGTTTCGGCCTGATCTAAGATGACGAAAAGGCCGAATCTCCTTAAACCCAATACTGTATACACTTATTTATTCTGGGATAGTCCTAGGGCCGGGGTACCGTCTTGTCAGCATACTGTTGACTTTTGAATCTCGGCCCAAGACAGCTTATGCTGGATAGTGGCGGTGCAGCACAGTGCTAAACGTCTCCGCCCTCTATACCGACTCGTGTATTTCGGGCTCAACACAGCCCCGTACCATCAAGCTTCTGCCCCATGGAGCTCATTACCGCGGTCTTGGTAGAAATACTCTGTACAATTCTGTACAATTCAACCCAGCCCGATAAAAGGTACAGTCTTGGTCCAACACAGCTCGGAAGTCGGAACCCTCAAGTCTCGCCACTGCATACCTCAATACCATCGAGTCCCAGTCTAAGTCAGTCCTGTGCCGCCGATTCTCAATTACTTCTCCGCACCGGTGATTCTCCCTTCAGCACAGCTCTCGGTACAGAGACCAGCATAGCGCGGTACCGGTCTTTCTTGACGATGGCCTTATGGAGCCCAGCACAGCGCTCGGTAGTGGGCCCAGCCCAGCTCAGTAAGGCCCAGCACAGCTCGCGATACGCTCCAGCCCGTCTCTCGGTACTGGCCCTACCGTACCGACTCTTTCTGTACCGGCCCTACCGACGGAGACTATAGACTCTACGACCCAGCCCATCTCTTGGTACTGGGGTACTGGTCCTACCGACAAATACTATAGACTCTACGACCCAGCCCATCTCGGTACCGGCCCTACCGACAGAGACTATAGACTCTACGGCCCAGCCCATTTCTCGGTACCGGCCCTACCGACAGAGACTATAGACTCTACGACCCATCCCATCTCTCTGTACTGTCCGGTCCTGACCGGTGGCCGACCCGGGCGGCAATTCGGCGTCCCGGGCGGGCCGAAAATAGCGGGCCGGTGCGACAGTGCGGCGGCCGGGTGGCAGGCCGGACCGAGCGGGCCCAGTCGTGTTCGTGTCGCCCCCGCTCGCGGGACAGAGGATCGCTCGGTGTCCGCTCCCCAGTGCTGCAATCATGGCCGGCAACCGTCTACAGGTGTTCGGAGGCCCCCGTGACGAGGTCAGTTCGGTGACACCGCCCGGTTGGCCGTCGGTAACCACACGCTAAAGGGTAGAATACAGTGCATTCTGGTAGATTAGAGATTAGTAGCTTCATTTGGGTGAATGGCCATAATTCAGGCTTTGAGTTAGATAAAAAGATATGTAATGACCCTTTAGCCAAGTGCACGCAAATTATGATAGCACTTTATGCATTATGATTTCGATGATTAGGTACCTATCGTAACGCCTCTCATTTATTTGCCTTAACAGCATTGCAACATGCAGGCATCATTTTAAGTCAAGTTCAGAGCATTATCAAGCAATTCATTTAATCCAAACTGCCAATAGTGTCCTGCATCCGAACGGTGCTTGGTTTGCTAAAATTGGTGTTCTGACTACTGAGTTATTTATGTGATTCCTAGCTTTCACACATTTAAACGCATTACTGGAATTTATTTTATTTTATGCGAGGAAGTGACCAGGCATTGTCGCCTATATCCGTAGACGGAAAAAAGCAGACAGCGCTGTCCAGGTATGGTCTTCCAGACCGAACAACGCCATTCATAGACGGCCACCGGACAGTGACGCCCATCTATCATGTTTTGAACATGAGATTGATGTGATTAGACGGTCTTACAGACCGGACAGTGCCCTCCATAGACCGTTGAACAGACCGGACAGTTCCGTCCATAGACGGTTCTAAATATCGAACGTTGCCGTCCATAGACGGTTCTATATACCGAACGGTGCCGTCCATATGTAGATGGATCCAGGGCACTTAGATGGATCAATGTAACTACCGAACAGTGCCACTGCTGTGCATATTTTACCTTACGCATCGGAAAGTGTCATTCATAGACGGCTCTAAATACCGAACGATACGTTCCACGGGCGGTCCAACAGACCGGAGTCGGTCAGTGCCGTCCATAGACGGTCTTACATGTCTACCCCACAGTGCTGTCCATAGACGGTTCTAAAAACCGGACAGTGCCGTCCTTAGACGGTTGTATACAACCGTCCGGACAGCCTCGCTCAAAGCTGTTTGCACGCTGATGCGCATACTGTCCGGGGGGCGGGAAACGTCATAGACCGTATGCCTAACCATTATTGAACGGGACTGCGTAAACCATGACTGCTCAGAAAAATAAAGTGAATTATATTCCAAACGACAGGCCATCCACATACAGGTACACAAGCTCATAAGCGCATACGCAAACGAGAAAACGAAGTAAAAAGCGGCATGTGGGCCGATGCCCGACTGTCAGGTACCTACTTGTTCCGTGACCTTGGCGGTCAGAATGTGATTGAAACCTGGCCAACAAAAGTTGGCGGTGTCTCTGGCGCCTCGCGGCCGTAACGGTGTAGAAAAATACCCGGTCGGTGACTTGTGCGACGGGGACTGGGAAGCCATGTTGGCCGGTGACCTGTGACTGATGAGCTGTCAGCCGGAACATTCCAGCGAGCGGTGAACCATGGCAGAAAATGACCGGGAGCCTGAAATGGTCCTCTGTGCGCTGGCTCACACTTATACCTAACAACGCGTGTAAAAAAAGAAATGGAGACACAGGGAAATGTCTAAAAACTCTTAAGTCTCAAGAACGGTGAAAAGTCAGGACTCTCCTCTGCTATTACATGCTTCTTTATTGGGGACTAGCCCCGTTATGGTACCATGTCTAACGTGTTTACATCTAACGCAGAGCTGGCTCAACTGGCCAGCTATTTGCAGTGGTCGTTGCTGGTAATCCGTGATCTGTGAACTAAAACTCACCGCAAGGCTGGCAGCTAATATTCAAATCGCTGGCTCGACATTATTGAACAAATAAAAACCGCAGGACAAAGGAAATGCCGCCGAGAGATGGGTTTCCGTTCTGCCCTTGACCCATCAGACGGGCAGACAGTAGAGTGGGACGTGGGTACCTACCCCGAGCTGGCGCGGCAGAGGGAGAGCCAGCCTCCATTTGGCTCGGTCCTGGACCGGTTGTACGCTGTGACGGTCTGTGTCTCGCCACTGCTGGAGACCGGCCAGCTCGAGACCCGGGTCCTGTGCCGTCCCAGTACAGTCCCACCTCTCCCAGCTGGATCCGGGGTCCGGACACTCAGAGCCACTTCCTCAGATTCCGCTGGAGCCGAGCCAGGAAGAGGCGACCCGGCCTCCGGCGTGACACCGGCTTCCGCTACCAGTGCTCCTGGGATGAAAATACTCTTAATTATACGGAAACGGTGTCAGAGCACCTGCCAAAAAATAACATTCGCAGAAATAAAGACTTCTAAATTCAGACCGTCGGCATGTCGGCTGTCGTAGCTGGTGAGGCGAATTCCCGCAATACGGTTTTATGTTCGTAACTATGAATTCAGTGACTTTCGTGTAAATTTATGAACTCATGAAACGATCTTACGAGCAAATGATTTTATACAAAGGGAAGTAGTAAGCTTTGAGAGAAAGAGTGTGCGTCGTGCGATCCTACCTTTCAGGTCTTTGCTACCCTAATTCAGTCTGAAGGACCTCACAGGATCGAAAAAAGCTTCGAAGCTTCTCGGTGTCTCATGGATTCTGAGCTGCATAATTAGCCTAACGTCAAATCAAACGGCCTAACGGTTTTTGCAAACTGTGCCGGTCTAGCGCAGTCGGACCAGTCAGAGCATTGCGGAACAGCATGCTCCAGGCGCTGCCTTAGAGAGTCATCTAGCGGATGGAATAGTAACTAGTGAATCCGGCAGCGCGGCGGATCGAACGCGGCCGGCCTATCCTCTAGCGACACCTCGTGGCAGGAGTCGAAACTGCCAAGCTATGCGGCACAGCATGTAACAGGCGCTTCTCCGTAGCGACATCTATGGAAGGAGTTGATAACTACAAACCTCAGGGGTCTGGCAAGAAGCCAGCACATTTCACGTAGGCTCCGGCAACGCTAGTTAGACTGCGACGGCTTTGGTTCGCTCTGTTTTAACAATAAATTGGTAGATTTCCATCCAGCAGCCGAAACACCTACCTTTTTCTACGTGTAGGTACTACATACGTACCTATATGATATCTTCTTATGCCCAGGTTTCATCGAAGTGGACATAATTTGGCATTTGCGGCGGTGTTTATAATGCGAGCCTCAGTCGTCACGTCTGGTAAGTGTGTTTTAATATAATTATATAGTACAGCATACCTACTTATCAGGAATTCTTTAGGAAAATCTAGAATCATCCAATCAAGACTGTGGAGTCGATGGATTTTTCGGTGACTCCGATTCCGACTCCGGGCAGAACTGTCGACTCCGACCGACGCCGACTCCAACTCTGACCCCGGCAGGGCTGGAGTCGATGAATTTTTGGTCACTCCGATTCCTACTCCAAATCCAGGTTAAAAAATCGACTCCGATTCCGACTCTGGTTCCTCAGCCATGCGTCTAATGACAGTTGGCTTATAATGCCTTTGTGAACGTAGCCTGTTGAGGCATACATAAACCAAGACATCTAGTAGGTAAGTCAACCCAATCCAATTGTTATCGGCGAGATTCGAAGCTGTCATGTTACCCAGCACTTGAGAGACGCTCTTTCGTTTGTGCTTTAAGTGATAATTTCTCCTGACCACGTCTAGACCAGTCACCACGATACCAGTTCAGCACGATCGAGGCTCGAGCTCCGCCCGTATTTGGCGGCGGTTTTGTCTGAGCACCGTTTTGTCACGGACGCTGTGGCGGGTCACTGCTGGAGGCGATCCAAGGCCGGATCACCGGACCACCCGGTCAGGGCGCGCCCTCTGTCCACTCAAATCTTCCTCACACCGGACAGATAGACCCCACGGGACGCCACCGGGGATCTCAGCTCATCCGGCGCCATCCCTGTCCGGCGAGGGACGCCAGCGGACCGCGTGACCTCCACGTGACGTCAGCTGACCTCGGCAGCGGCGGCGCCAATGTCGTCTGTCAGCCGGGAATGTTCGCTCGCTGACGTCACCGCTGGGGGCGCTGACGGAGCCGGCGGCGTGACGTGACGTCAGATTGACGTCCGTGACGGGAGGCGTGTGGGATGGTGGGTGGTATGTCCGCCATGCGCTACGTCGTCACTGGGCACCCGACACAGCGCGGGCCAATCGCAGCCTTGTGGCACCGCACTCAGCGCCACTGCCTGCCGCGGGCTGGTGGTATTCACGCATTACAAAGCTGCAGCGGAAATTAGCTGGCAGCAATTCTGCGATTAAGACTTACTTATGCTTCATTCGATTTTCATCTCGCCAATGTCCTAGTTTCAGAGCTTTCCCGCGGCAGTAAGAGAGTTGAGGTAGCATCATTTCTGATTCGATGTACTTTGATCGAATACACGGCACCTGTCGGGATTTATAATAAGACAAAACTATCAATTTCGTGGTTTGATGTAATATCTACTGCTGTAAAAAGGCAGGCATTCACAGTCGCACTGATCAATGCACTTTTTTTCTCGTGGAGGCGCTCCCACATCTTGAATTCTCAGCTCAAGCTCATGGAACGATATGCCCATGAGTGCTCACGATGACGAAGACTACTTTTATATTCTGATGCTCGGCACCTCGTCGGCGGTTCTCTGCTACACCAGTAGTTTGTGACCAGCCGCCAGACGTCGCCCCGATCGTTGTCTGGTGGTCGAACAGCTGGAGCCCCTCGCGGTCACCGACCTGGCTCGGTCTGTGGCTAAACGGCCGGCTATTTTTGCCCCGCCGCGGTCTGGTCCTCGGGAGAGCCCGTCCTCAGCCGTCCTGCTCCTACCCCCGCGCTGCTCAGTGCCATTTAATGCGGTGGTGATGACGGACGCTGCACGTTACCAATTGATTGATTCGACCGATTGAGTCGATCAATCAATACGATGTAATTTGAACTAACCTGATCTGACCTTACTCAATTTAAATTGCTTTGGCTATCCTAGAGCTATCAGTAACTGGAGAGTCGAGACGTTCCGTTAGGTATCCAGTTTATGGAGCACCTCAAAGTACCTGCATATATTACATGATACTCAGACAGAAATAGGCTGCAGTGAGACGTTACAGAACGAAATTCTGTG